GGTTTAGGGTTTAGGGTTTCTGCGTGTCTTGGTGGCCCGTACTTAGCAACGGTTTGAGGCCACTATACTGTTTCTTGCACCCTTTGGACAAGTTCTAAACTCGAATCCACAAACCCTTACCGCGGGAAACCTAGATCACCCCAACCTTGCTACAATATTATGGGCAGGTCGCAAAATTCGGGTCCGTTTTAGGCCTAAACCCTTTAGCAAAACCTTAAATAGCCCCGAACCTGAAACCCGAGACCGCCAAAGCCTCAGAGGCTGAACCTAAAGCTCAATGATGGAGTACAGGGAGGGGTTTCAGGGCTTGGGTTCAGGGTTTAGGGTTTAGGGTTTAGGGTTTGGAGTTTAGGGTTCAGGGTTTAGGGTTTAGGGGGTTTGGGCTTCAGGGTTTGGGGTTACGTTCAGTGTTGTTCTTTCTCTGCTTATTATGCGTCTGTCCACTCTATTATCCGCCGAGAACAGTGTCCTCCTCATGATAGTTTTGATTGCCCATAGCCTGTTCCACGTATGTAAGCCGCTGTGAAGTCGAGAGAGTCATGAGAACCCGAAACCCCAAGCCCTCGATCCTGTAAAAAGCCGTTAAACCCTAAACCCTAAACATTAAACCCTAAACCCTAAGCCCTAAACCGTATAAGCCTCAGGCTACCAAGGGCAGGGTTGTGCGACCTGCAGCGACCGCTACGCCGTTGCAGACAGGAGCGTGCTTTCCTGTGCCTTGCCCTGCCGTTCAGGGTTGAAGGTTTGGGGCTAAGCCCTAAACCCTAAACCCCTAAGCCCTAAACCCTAAACCCTAAATCCTCAAAACTGGCGCTTCAGAGTTTCCGGATTTAGGGATTTCGGGTTTACGGGTTGAGGGCTTCAAGGGGGTTAAAGCTGTGCACCAGACGAAACGGTCCGTCGATCACAACTGTGCAGGTTCTTTTTTACGGGTACTGGAGGTTACCTTAAGCCCAAAACCCTAAACCCTAGACCCTAAACCCTAAACCCTAAACGTCATAGGTTACTATAAGGGTAGGGATTTTGAATATAACAGTTTCTACCGGGGGCTATTGGAAGGGCCTTAGGGCCAAGGGCCTCAGCTAGAGGATACATCCAGGACTACAGGCATACCAACATATGCTTCTACCTATAGACATCTGTGTAATGTGTGTATCTTTATGCACATGTATTTGTGTGTATATGTATATGTTCATATATGCCCGTGTGTATGTATATCTATATGCATGTATGTATGTATGTATGCATGTATGTATGTATGTACGGTGTGATGTCTGTCTGTCTGTCTGTCTGTCTGTCTGCCTGTATGTATGTAGGCAGGTAGGTAGGTAGGTAGGTAGGTAGGTAGGTAGGTAGGCAGGTATTCATGTACATACAGATGTACATGTAAGTACACATGCTTACATGTATATATGCTTCACATATATGTACATGCACATGTGTGTGTTTATCGCCAGTTACTTCAGCAGAGAGGACGATAGAGGGTTTAGGGATTCAGGGTTTGTAGGGCTTAAGAGTTCAGGGGTAGACTGCCCGTTTGGGGAATTCTGCTCTTTGATGACGCAAGCGTTGCTACGCAAGTCGCGAACCAGATCAAAGCATCCAAGTCGGCAAAGTCGTCTTCATTGTTGCCTGAACCTCAAACCCTGGACCTTCATGTCATCACCTTAAACCCTGGACCTTCATGTCACTCATTGAGCTTGCGTCTTGCAACATGCCAAACAAAGGCAAAGCCTGCAGCGAAGTTCGCCGGAATCAGGCAGCAGATCTTGCCGAATCTTCCACTGTGCTAGCCAGCGAATCATGATAATAATGTAGCCAGAAGAGAGCCGCAATGAGAGAGTCAGCATGATATTGATCAGTATAGTATATAGGAAGAACACACCAAAAAGACCGTAGAATACGAACAACAATACTAATATCCCCCCAAGCAACCCACAAGTACTTTCCTCACTCAGAAGACCGTAAGACCTAAAATAAGCGAGTTGGGGTTCAGCGGTTAGGCTCAGCGTCAAGCTCAGCTTTATTGAAACCCCTAAGCCACAAACCCTAAACACCTCAAACCCTAAAGCCCGTCGACAGACTTTTCCAGTTTCAGTGGCTTTTGCTTGCTTTCGGGTGTCGGGATGGGGCAAAAGGCGCCAGTCGTCGCTACCGAATATACAGAAACCCAAGTAGTTAGTCATAAGGTTTAGGGTTAAGGGTTTAGGGGTTTAGGGTTTAGGGTTTCAGGTTTAGGGTTTAAGGTTTAGGGTTTAGGGTTTTACTTCCCGGATTCTTTAAAGGGGTCTACCAAGGGCTACAAGAAGGGGCATCATGGGTACTCAGTATAGCAGCCTGAGCAAGTGGTATTATTTTTTGCTTTAACGTCCTTGTACACTTGTTGTAAAACATCACCCCCAAACCCTAAACCCTAAACCCCTAAACTCCTAAACCCCTAAGCCTCTAAACCCCTAAACCTCTAAACTCCTAAACCCCTAAACCTTTAAGACCCTAAACCCTGAACCCCCAAACTCCTAAACCCGTAAATCTCTAAAGCCTCCACTGCGTTCAGGATTCTTGTGCTACTGTTGATGATATAAATCCTGCATTATCTTCAGGACCCTAAACTATGGGAATTATGGCATATTCTTAAACTATGGGTAATGCAGGATTTATATCATCAACAGTAGTTTAGGTACGGCCTTGAACTTCAAGACCTGACAAACGATTAGCCATAGTAGTCCCTGTTTATTGTCCATGCTTTACTTGCAGAATGACGATCCCCCCCAAAATAGGATCCAATTCTATCTATTCCGGCCGCCATGTTAAAGCCGCCTGCAACGCAGTTCTCAAACATATCACTTTAAGTCCCTACAGCATCAGCGCACGCTAAACTTTAGGCCCTGAGTCTTGAACCCTACGCATCAAGCCCCCAGCCCTCAAGGCTTGGACCCATGTAAGCTATGGATCTTTACCGATCAGGGTTTTTTTACACCCTGTAAAAACCCAAAACCTAAACCCTAAAACCCTACACCTTAAACCCTAAACCCTAAACCCCAAACCCCAAACCTTTGTTTGGGTTTCAGGGGCAGAAAGTTCCACGCTGAGTGCAGGTGATCCAGTGGATCCTCTTCCTGGCGCAGCGCACCGTCCTCTTCGGAATCGGGGCTTTCAGCGCGCTCTTGGCCAAGAAAGTGGCTGGGCATGCCCTAAACCCGAAACCCTAAACCCCAAACCCTAAACCCGAAACCCTAAACCTTAAACCCGAAGCCCTAAACCCTAAACCCCCTTAAGCCGTTCCCTCCTGCCTGATAACTGATAAGGCTGGTGATTTGAAGAACAGCAGCATCTACCTGAACCAGCTGATGGCTTTCGCCACCATCTCCAACACGACGCTGGCCAGCATGTTCTGGCCCAGAGACTCTGAAACCCCTTCATGAAGGGGTTTAGGGGTTTAGGCTTTAGGGTTTAGGTGTTTAGGGGTTTAGGGGTTTAGGGGTTTAGGGTTTAGGGTTTAGGGGTTTAGGATTCAGGGTTTAGGGTTTAGGTGCTTTAAGCTATTGAGGGCTGCCTTATCATAACATAATAAACTGATAAACAGCAAAAACATGAAACATGACACTTTTTTCGCATGCATGCACACATACGTACGTACGTACGTACATACAGACATGCTTAAGGTAGGTCGATTCCGTGAGTACGGCACCCTAAACCCTAAGCCTTAAACGCTAAACCCTAAACCCTAAACCCTAAGCCCTAAACCCTATAAGCCCTAAACCCTAAGCCCTAAACTCTAAGCCCTAAACCCTAAACTCTAAGCCCTAAGCCCGAAGCCCTTTTTAAGGGCTTGAAGAGCTCCTGGGTTTCAGGTTCCCTGAAGGACCCAGCCCACGTCGAACAACCCTCCTTCTTGGTAGGGGCCCTAACTTAGGGTTTAGGGTTTAGGGCTCTATATCGAATCGAGGTTTCTTTGAGGGTTTAGGGCTTTCTGCGTGTTTAGGGCTTACAGGATTCTGGATCGAGGTTTATCTTCAAAGCCTGCCAAAAAACAAGGCCACAGTAGTTTTCGGTAAGACTCCTTTCGGCCCGGTAGGAAGGCATAGCCGGGTTTAGGGTTTAGGGTTTAGGGAGAATACCCAAAACCCGTAAACCTTGAACCGGTAAGACAAAGGATTACCCTAAACCCCTGGACACACCCTAAACTCTGAACCCTAAACCCCTAAACCCCAAGGATCATGGCCGCGGTTCTGCAGACGAAGACGGCGAAGAGCGTGAAGAGCCAAGCAGCAGCCACGAGTGAACTTCGTAGTTTGCCATAGCTGTCCTTTGCTAATTATGCAGCCCGTCGCTCTAGGGTTTAGGGTTTAGGGCTTTGGGGTTTAGGGTTTAGGGTTTAGGTTTTAGGGTTTAGGGTTTAGGTTTTAGGTTTTAGGGTTTAGGGTTTAGGGTTCAGGGTAGCGCCCA